ATAAATTATTGCACCTTCTGATGATAATCCTGCAGCTAGTCTTGCTTTTTTTTCCTTTGCACGCGCATTCTGAAACCAAACCTAAATAAAAATATAAATAAATGAAAGTTTTACATGTAATATTAAATATACAAATTTATTAGTAGCTTCTAAAACCATAATTCTGAATCACAAGATTTAAAAAAAATTTTTTGAGACAATCTATAAAAATTCAGGATAACTTACATTCCATTCATTAAAAATGTATTCAAATTTAAAGCTGGCAAGTAACTGAATGAAAAATATGAAAACTTTTTTTTAACTCAGAAAGGTATTGTGTTTAAATAAGTAGTGAAAAAATTAATAACTACAAGTAAAAAAGTCTCTGCGTGACTAAGCATACGCATCATAAAGTTGGTGCAGAAAAAATCTATTACTTAACTATTCTATTCCTGCATGTGAGGCACAAGTGCTACAATATAAATCAAATCAGTGCCTAGATTTGTCTCTTTCAATAAAACGTATTTATTGACTTAAGCTTGAAGAATCCCTTCAGGATTGAAAGAGACCTCTTCCATTAAACCTCCAGCAAGTATGAGAAATATTATAATATTTTTATCAGCTGCATATTCTATTGTTAAAATGTTGATAAAAAAAACTTCAAGCACCTTGTCATGTCATTTTAAAGTGGCTCATTTCAAAAGTGGTAAGCCTCCTTATTTCCCATTTTATCGTTAAAAAAGAGTAGTGAACGGATTTTTTAGAAAACATACTTATTATTCTATATTTTGGATGTCTTGTCATAATTTTTGTAAAATAAATGTGACGAATAGTTTCTCTGACATTGGGTCGTATAAAAAACATAAGAATTTAAATAACTATTAGGCTCACTAGGCTACTATAAAATTTTCAGATTATAATATAACTGCTTGTAGCTCTTAAGAATTTTCATTATTATAAAAAAAAATTATAATAAAGAATCAAAATTGTTTCAGAAGTATCTTCTGAATTGTAAATTAGAAAAAATATGTTAAGGGCACTCCAGAAATATTTATTGAACAACTAGCTATTTCATTGAAAAAGTAAGAGGAGATTTACATTTTCGATACTTCAAAGAATAAATCCAGCACAAACTTGTAAATATTTTTTGAGAATTCAAGGAAAAAAGTGAAAAACGAGATTCAGACTAATAAGGTATGATCTGATTTCTCATTTTTTCTCATTATATTTCAATAAATCTCACTAAAATCAAGCTATGTTAATTCTTCATGGATTCCGAAATGTGCGTCTACTCTTTCTCTCGTATGTAAGTATTCTAAGTTAATTCATTATTGTTAACTAAGTAGAAAAGCTGTTGATCGGTAATGTAGGAGACTAATAGAACGAGATTGAAGTTTTATACCTCATTCCGTTGAGTGGTGCTATTTCTGTCAACTTATTACTAAGTAACTTTTGAATATAATTTTTGAGGAAAAACAGTATTTATACATTCTTTAACCTACAAGAAATATCTTAATTTTAACGGTTTTTTTACGAATGACCTAGTAGATACATAGCATGTTCAAATAACGGTACTGATGTGCATTTGTGACCCAGTACTCGAACATTCTATATTGATTGAATGGGAGAAGGATTATGTTAACTACTTTTTATTAATTTCCACTTTTATTATACACTGCATGTAGTAAAATCAAAAAGTTTGTTTCAAATTTTATTTATCGCATCTCATCACCACTTTATCAACTGGCTTGACTTTTTTATTATTATTGATTAACAGTGACTTTAATCGTTTTTTATGTGTTCGAGTCCTGGGCATAGACAAAACCTAGTGGTATCAGTTCCTAAACAATTTTACAAGCCTTTTGTACGAGTCACTTGAATAAATACTTTTTTCTCATTGTTCATAAGAACTCATCAAAATATAAATTTTGTTTTATCCAAGGATAGGTAAAAGGATATTAGAAACATTTAAAAAAATGTATTTTACGTTTAAAATAGTTTTTTCAAACTGTCCAAGCTATTGGTACAATTTTATGAAGCGTTTAGGTATTGGTACTTTTACCTTATAAATAAATTAACTAGAATACTATCAATCTTAGATAATTTTGAAATGTATTAAAGGATTAACAATAAAATGCTCAGCTATTTGCTTTCGTTCTCATTCAACCAACTTATTGTTTGTATAACAACGAAATATACTTTCTAGAGTGGCTTATTAAAAAAGCTAGGTAAGAATACCATGATTTAGATTATTTAAAATTATAGGTACGTGTTTTCATAATCATGAATTTGTTTACACTCATACTTGGGTATTTAAACTAACATATTAATGTAAAATTTTTAAATAAAGTCCTTATGTAACTACACTTTTTTCACTACTTTTAAATAAATTGAGACGTAGTCAAATACTTAAAAACGGACTTATATTTCCTAGAATATAAACAAGAACATGCGAGGTATGTAGAGCGATCATTATAAATAGATACATTAGGAAAACTGTATAAAACGAAGATCACATATTTTCGTATAATTACAATATTTTTCGGAGCTTACGTAAAGTTGTTAACAGGAATATTTTATATTAATTACACAAAAATTTTAATATAATATTAAACCAAATACAGTCTATACTCCTTTTTGTCGTACTATATTTACGGATCGGTTTATTAAAGTAAACAGATTAAAATAAACGATACTGTCAAATTCATTATCAAAATACGATAATAAAACTATAAATCTTCATATATAGTCTTTACTGTACACAAAAACTTAATGCGGAAATATTTTCTATATAACCAGATAGTATTTATACATTGTATAAGAAATCATTTCATTGCTCTTATTTGTCAAAATTTTTACTGTTTTTATCCCGTGATTACTTTATTTTACTTACTCGATTTCTCTTAACTCTAATAACTACATACTATCTTAATATTTCATAGTTCTTATAATATAATAGTCGTTTGATAGGAACTTTCAGTATTGCCTAGCACTGGATATAATATTCGCGCTATATAAAGGTATTTTAAAATCTAAACAAATAGAGTCGCATTAGTTAATGGTCCTTCTATATTATCACACGGACCATATTAAAAATATAGTATACACTTCACCTACGCGAAAACAACACATAACGCTGCTCATGCATACGTAATTCGGTGGTATTCATTTGAATATATCTTATTAAAAATGACATGTAAGCAATAGCTTAGCAGTCAAATTTTCTTGTACCAAATACCTATTTGAATTTCGATAACATGAGTTTAGGAATCTAGGAGGTCAGCCAGACATTCACCAGCTACAGTGGTAGTAGTGCTAGTTGAAATATTCCCGGAATGTTGCTGTTGCTGCAGTTGCTGCGACTGAAACATTGCCGTGGGATGAAGGAACAATGACCCGTACATCATATTTTCTTCAGTCTGCGATTGGTTGCCATGCTCGGCATTCGCAGTACTGGCAATAGCATTTTCTCGCAATATGGGAGCTCCTGGAGTAGGTGGTAATAAACTTCCATCTTCGACAGCTGTTCTTACCGATTCAATATGTCTTCGTGAAAATACGTGCTCTTGCAGAGGTGACTTAGACGAATATCGTACAGAACACAGCTGGCATTCTTCTGGACCAGTTAAACCACGATAAATTATTGCACCTTCTGATGATAATCCTGCAGCTAGTCTTGCTTTTTTTTCCTTTGCACGCGCATTCTGAAACCAAACCTAAATAAAAATATAAATAAATGAAAGTTTTACATGTAATATTAAATATACAAATTTATTAGTAGCTTCTAAAACCATAATTCTGAATCACAAGATTTAAAAAAAATTTTTTGAGACAATCTATAAAAATTCAGGATAACTTACATTCCATTCATTAAAAATGTATTCAAATTTAAAGCTGGCAAGTAACTGAATGAAAAATATGAAAACTTTTTGTTTCTA